TCTGTCTTTAAAAGTTGTTTCTGGGCCCAGCCCGCCAGTCGCAGAGTGCAGGTGGGAGCGGCCGGTGGCACCCGGGTTGTGGGCCTGGCAGCAGCCGGAGCCCCAGGGCCCCACGGGGTAAGTTTACCACCTTTATTACCTGGTGGACTTCTACTGGACATCTGGCCCACTGCAGCTGAGGATAGGGAGAGTGTGGTGGCTGGGGGTCTTAGAACCTGGAAGGAAAGAACACCAACTCCCCAGTAACAGGCTTGAGAGACGCAGCAGGTTCTGCATTCGATTCTGTCCTAAGTGAGCCGAATTGGTTGCAAAGGCTTCAAGGATTCTGAACTAGGAATGATACATGCTTTTTAAGGACCCGAGTTTTCTCCACGACTCCAGACTGGAAAGACATACGTTTTAAAGGTCTCAGCTTCACTTCTAGAGGAGGGCATTCAACTCACTCAGGACGTCCTAAGGCTTTCCCCCAACCCATGGCGCTACCTGGTTGCTCACAGACCCAAACCTGGGACCTGGAGCCTCCCACTCCTACTGCTGAGGCCTCCTCATCTTCCGGACCCCAACAACAGGAGGGAACCGGGAGCACTGTGGTATCCGGGAGGCTTTCCTTGGAGAAGGTGAAGCGACCCATGAACGCGTTCATGGTGTGGAGCTCCGCTCAGCGCCGCCAGATGGCGCAGCAGAACCCCAAGATGCACAACTCGGAGATCTCCAAGCGCCTGGGCGCGCAGTGGAAGCTGCTGGCCGAAGAGGAGAAGCGGCCCTTTGTGGAGGAAGCCAAACGGCTGCGTGCCCGGCATCTGCGCGACTATCCCGATTATAAGTATCGGCCGCGGCGAAAAACCAAGAGCTCGGGCGCCGGGCCTGCCCACTTCAGTCAAGGAGGCGGCGGTCTGGCTTGGGGGCCGCTCTGGGGGCCAGGATATACAACCACCCAGGGAAGCAGAAGCTTTGGGTACCAGCCCCCTAACTACTCGACATCCTATCTACCCAGCAACTATGGGTGAGTGCTTGGGAAGCGGGTGGGGGCAGATGCGAGAGGGCCTGAATTATTCAAGTGGAGGCCACTCCTGGTGAGGTTGGATGACTCCATCATCCACAGGGTCTTCCCATTTCAGTCTGGAGGTGGCAGACCTGCAGTACTTTTCTAGTTACTAACGTGTCATCTCCCCCTGCTCTGGCCTGTGTGTGACCCGGCTTCCTCTCCTAGCCTTCAGGGCAAGGAGAGGCCAAGCCCATCCTGCCCCCTTCCTGGCCTGCCGCCCCAAAAGAGGAAAACAGTCAGGCAGCACGCAAGCTTCTGCTCCTAAGCATGCCCCAACAGGGCTGCGCACCTCTCTAAGTCATCCTAAGGTCTGGTTCTAGGCCTGCTGTAGCCAGAATGGTGGCTGGGTGGCAGGCTCTACCTCTGTTCTGCCCAAAACTGGTCAAACCAGTCCCCCACTTGAGAGTAGGGGACACAGTTTAGCTCCTCCAACCCAGAGAGGCAACCTCTAACACCCTCTTTCTCTTTGCAGCTCTTCTTACTCTAGACCGGAGGCCCCGTCACTGTGCTCCTCTCCTCAGAGTGACCCGAGGCTCCAGGGGGAGCTTCTACCCCCATCTAGTCCCTACCTACCTCCAGGGTCTTCTGCTCCTTACAATCCTGGTGCCCCCATGCCCCTAGCACACCTCTAACCAGCATGGACCATTCCCCTTTTCTTCCACCCTCAACCCCAGGCTGAAAATCTTCCTGTGTTGGACCACAGTTCAGAGGCCTGAAGTCCTCCCAAGAAAGCCAAGGCCAGCAAACCCACTATGTAACACAAGTTTGTATGATGAAACCACGCGTTTGTGTCTTTATTGCATCCCATCTTCACCTCACTGCAACAGGAACTAGCACTATCTCCACTCCCTTCCGCCAGAACCTGCCAGAGCAGGAACCGCCTCACCCCACCCTGGGGCCCTGTCTGAGTCATGCAGTCCCCTTTCCCCACCCCCAGCACGGTCCAGGAGACAGCAGTCCTAAATGAGGGGGAGGGGGCACAGCCCTGAGTCCTCTCCAGGCCCTGCTCCAGACTCTGTCCTTTAGGCGGGAAGAACAGTGGGGAGGTGAGAGGACAGGACAAAACATTGCCCCAGTACAGAAGTAACTAGAAACTGCTGCTAGATGAGCCAAATGATGAAATGAGTGAATAATCACATGCCTTAGAAATGGTGTTTTTTTGTTTGGGGATGAAACTTTAGTCCCCATCTAAGAATCTGGACCCACCAACTGCCAGTTTCCACTAAAAACAAGCCCTGGCCCAGAAAGTTTCAATTGCTGAGGAGTGGATGGCTGAGAGGCTCCAGCACACTGGTGGGGAGGACTCTGAGGGTGGGTAAATGAATGGAAACTGAATTAACTCCAGTAGCTGGCTCAGCTCTACTGCTCCTTTTTCTGCTTGTGGGGAGGCTTTGTGTTCCAGTAGAAGAGGACCTGGGCAGCGATGAGGCCATTGCAGAGGGAGGAGACCACGAAGACTCCAGCCATGAGGGGGTCTCCAGTTTCCTGGTTGCAAAAGACAGGATTATCCGAGAGCTCCAGAGAGGCTACCCTATCCAGGTGTAGTGGCACATGCCTGTAATCCCAGCACTCAAGAGGCTGAGGCAAAGGGTGACTGTGACTTGAAGGCCAGCAGAAAAGTCACCCTGAGGACACAAACTCCCAGGACAGACTGAATCTTTGGCTGAGTGTAAAATGGGCTTTTAGTGCCCTCTAGAGGGTAGAAGGTGTACTCACCTGAATGGAAGTAAAGATTCGGGTCAAGGAGCCCCCAAATAGCAGGAAGACTGTGATAGCTGAGAGCTGACCTGTGTGCCCGTTGCTGTAGTTGGTGGCTGCCTGGAGCAGCTAGGGGAGGAATTGACATCTTTGGTTCTGTGGGCTTTCCCCATGCTCCCATCACTGAGTTCATTTCCCTCTATCCTCTATTTGCCCCTCTACCCCATCCTCCCAACATCCTTTACTTTGCTCCTAACTACCCACCTTTCCCACCACCACAGCAGGCACATTAGAAGCCTGGAGCAGGGTGACTATAGTCAGTGGTGTAAGTGATGAAAGCAGCACCAGCAGGCTCAGCACATAGCAGGCTAGGAAAGCAACTCCTGGGGGTCAGGGAAACAAGGAGGCCTCATCAACCTCTCTTGCATCCTCTGGCTTCCCCAGGCCTCAGTTCCCAGGAGGATTCCCAAGAAGCTGCTCCTGGGCAAATCTCCAGCACCTTTCACAGTCTGTCCTCTGAAGTGCATGATCAGGAAGCAGATGGTAACTGTCTGGAGCATCAGGAACAGGGCTTCACCCCAAGAGCTGCAGAGTCAAGAGTTGGGAGGAAGAAAGGCAGGCCTGGAAAGAGGCAGGGAAAGCCTCCATAGCCCATCCATCCGGGGACACAATAATCCACATCCCCATTTGTAAATTGCTTCATGTGGTGGTGTAAATTTTTTTTTTTTTTTTTGCACCAGGGATCAAACTCAGGACCTTACACTTATGAGGCAGGCAGCAGAACCACTGAGCTAAATCCCCGGCCCCATGAGTAATTCATGAGATGCTTACTTCCTCTCTTCACTTCCACTGGATGAGCTTAAGCTTTTCTTTTTTACCCTTTCACCGTCCTCATTTTAAACCCATTTACCCTTGGGGATACAGGGCAGGTTCCTCACCTGAAGGGGAAGTTGTTGGTGATGCTGTAGACCACAGTCCCAGTTAATGCCACTAATTCCAGCATTACAGACTGGAGGCTCAGCCCTTCTGCACTCTTGGCTCCCAGGATTTTAAATACCTGGGGCAGCTTTACTGGGGAAAAGATGAGAAGGGCAGGGTTAAGGAGCCCGCAATCCTTGGCAGCACAACACAATGGCTTGAGAAGGGGCTAGGAAGCACGATAAACCCATTTATAGTTAAAGGACCACACAGTTTCTAGCATTTCAGTACCTCTACCCCTGTTCTGATAGCAGGAAAGAAAATGTACATACCAAGAAGTGACCCAGCCACAATGCCCAGCCCCAGGCCTTTGCTGAGGAGAATCTTCAGGCAGGGAACTAAGAAAAGAAAAGGAGGCAGAGATGATCCCTCTGGAACCCAGCCTGGGGCTTGAAGTTTTCCTGTGCGTTGCCCTCTCCCTCACCTTGTCATGTTGACACAAGGAAAATCTTGGTCTAGGGGTGGGAAAACAGAGGAAAAAGTCCTGGTCCTTCTTGCTCTAAACCATCTCATATTCTATCTAGATGACTTCCCAAAACAGCTAATGTCTTCCCTCCCACAAAATACTTCTGGTCCTTGTTTCTTCCCTGAATAACACTGAGACAAGCCAGATTGCCCTGATTCCTTTTCCCTCCTCTCATCAACTATTGGCCCACTTCACACATTCTCTCCAGGGACAGGTTTCCATACCACTCATTCTTGAACCTTATCCCTGACTCCTACTCAGAGGCTTGGCCCTACCCTTCCAGATATACATACCCTGGTCATCCACAACCTCTCTAGACTTTTGTTTGATTGTTTTGATTTGTTTTTTGAGACAGTGTCTCACTCTGTAGTTGAGACTGACCTGGAACGATGTAGCCCAGGCTGATCTCGAACTCACAGGCTCCTCCTGCCTCAGCCTCCCGAGTGCTGGGATCACAGGCATGTGCCACCACGCCTAGCCTCCTAGCCTTTAAACCTTTTTCTCAAGGAGCTTGGCCCAGTGGGAGCCAATTCATGGGTCATGAATGTACTTGAATAGTGTCCCACAAGCACGGGGTTGTGAGGGTGCACTATGAACTAACAGGGCAGATGGGAAAGGCCTCTCAAAGGGTCTGCAGGCCTTGTTGTAGAGTTGCCCGGCCTGCACGTTAGGGAAATAAGGAAAATTATTCCAAAATTAGACCACGAGTTAACATGCGGGTTGGAAGCAACTAGGGTCACAGGAGCCTCTGAGGTGCACATGAAGGCCTGATTCATCAAAGGCTTTCAATTAAATTTAATTCTGCCAGAGATCTTCTAAAACCTGGAGTTATTTGATCACATTTTTAATTTTGTAAAAAGTAAGCCTTTTCATCTTTCCATGTCACTAATGCACAAACTTCCAAATGTATTTCCATCCGGCGACTCACACTTGCCCAAATACAGCGTTTTTCCTGCGCGGGGTACAAGCCACTTCCGCCCCTCTAAGAAGCGCCTTCCGCCCAGCTCGGAGTGGCAGCAGACACGGCCTTCACTTAGTAGCCAGGCACGCCAAAGTACGCTCGATAAGACTTTGGAGGCTGAATAAAACTCACCATGAAGCAAATCCCACTGGACAAAAAGTTGGTCGTAACATTTCTCAGGTAAAAGAATTGGCACCAGCACCCGTTTGAGCAGCCGATCAGTGTGAGCCGCCATGTTGGAAAGCCAGCTTCCGCCAGTCTGCCTCCCGCCATTGATTTGTAATGCGCATGCGCGTTGTTCACTCCGCCCCTAGTTCCTTTCAGGCGAGGAAGTTTCTGAGTCCTTTATTCCCCCACCCTTTTCACGCCACAATCTTTGTAGTAGAACCTGCGTTCAGAGACCGCGTTTCGGACGCAAACTACCGTTCGAATTTTAAAGTGTGTCAGAGCAGTACGCCCGCGCAGTTAGATTTTCTTCCCCTTTGTTTACTGTTGCGGTTTGGGAGGAATTACCCATTGGCTTTTCTTCTCGCCTCCTCCCAGGCGCCATCTTGTCTTCTAGCCAACTTTGTATTGTTCAAAGTTGAGAGAAAGGGAGTATGTCTCCAAACTGGCATTGGGTGGGGGCCCTGTAGCGCTCTGTTTCCCTGTCTCTCGCTGTCTCCAGGGAATGGCGCTGGCCAGAGCAGGCAAGTCGAACCTGAGTATCCCTTAGGATGCTTCCCCCTCTTGTCAGTGTAGGTGTTGGGAGGACGGGTATGCCAGCGACTGCAGGGCCCGGGATAGTGAAATAGAAGAGGTTGGGGAGGCGAGCCCCGCTGGGGAGGGCAGCTCCTGAGTCAGCCTTGATGCCTCGGTATCCCCCACACCATGGTCTTAGAGTGTGCTACTACGTGAGGATGAGCAAGGATGGGGCCGGGGATTTAGCTCAGTGACTGCGCCTGCTTTGCAAGCACAACGTCCTTCCTAAGTTAGATCTCCAGTATCAAAAAAAAAAAAGGATGAACAAGACTGAGTAGGCTAAATTTCTGTGCTTGGAAAAGGATATTTTGGACTAGCGAGAGTGAGTGCTATGCTGTGCCCCCCAATGCCAGGCCACCAGCCCATGGCTCATCAACTTGATAGAGGTGTAGTTGGCCATTACACTGTCGAGCACCCTCGTTTGGAAGTCCCTTTTTAGAATCTGGGCACTGGCTGCCCCGAGGGTATCCCTGACCCCTTCCCTCCAGGTACTGGGGATATCAGGGTTAGCTCTTGGCCAGTGGCCAGGCTGAGGGTGATGCTGTTCCCAGTAGTACAGAAAACAACTGTATGAGATTAGAGTACCGCTGCTCCTGTGGTTAATAAAATCCTTCGCGGTGGATTCTTTAGCTTACCTAGCACAGGACACAATGAACAGGGGATTCTTACTGCTCAGGATCTGCTGACTTGTTTTTAGAAATGATACTACATAGCCTTCTATGCATTGCTTTGCCTGTCTTCTGTAACTAATTGTACAGAAGAGTTGGGAAGATGGTTGTCAAGATGTGTAACTCCACTGGGTTGGAGGAGTGGGGGCAGCCAGTGGCTTCACAAGAATCTGGGAAAGAAGGAAGTGGTGGTATATTCAACCTCACCTGTCCAGGTCTTGGGGCAGTTGAACTCATGAGGGCATTTGATTACATATTGACATTTTCATCCCTCTTTACCATCTGTTTTGGGCCCCTCCTGACTCAGCTATGAAAAGACAACTAAGTCAGGTGACAAGAAACTAATGGCTTTTAATCCTGCAGGACAAGGGAAACCAAAAACAAAGATTTGAGTAGGTTTTACTACTTTCCTACTGGGGCAGGGGCTATCTCCTTTAATAAAAACTCTTTCCTTCGACCTCCCAATTGCATTAACTGTTTTGTTCTTCAAGAAAGACAATGAAGAATGGTAACTGTCTCTGAGTTGGTTGCATGCTGAGGAAATGAGAGTGCCTTTTGGGGCCCTAAGGGTTGGGTAAAATGCTTAGAGAGGCTGGTAGGCAGATGGGCGTCTCTGAATGATGCAGAAGGCAGCAAGCACCAGGGTGAGGAGGCCAAGCAGGGTCAGGCCAATGATGAGAGGCAGCATGATGGACTGGTCCCCAGGGCAAGAAAAACCTGGCAGAAAGATAGGGCAAGCAGGCATTCCATTGGTAGTGGCTGAGATGGGGGTGGTGTGGGGATACTGGAAGGAAAATGGTGAGCAGCCTACCCCAGAACTCATCAGTACATAAAAAGGGGAAATGGGTAGATTCTTGTAAAGCAGGGAAGGACAGTTACTCAGTCACTATGACAAGCCCAAAAGAGGGAAGAAAGTCTGGGCTTTAAGAAAGGAGATCTGGGTCTGGGAAAGGGGATTCTAGTGCAATGGAAAAATTCTAGGAAGGAAGGATAGGCAGGTCTTACTTGGCCCAAAGGTTCCTGTGTGAGGCAGCTGAGCAGCCTGTAGCCTGAGAGAAAGGAGGTCAAGGCGAAAAATCGGAGAGAGAAAGATGCTGGCGTTTCTGCAACTGAAGCTTTGGCCCAAGGGTGCTTGGAGATCTCGAAGGGATGAATTCTGAGCTGAGAATGTCCATTCTGAAGGGGAGAGGAAGGGTCAGGTCCAATCAACCTCCATACCCCCCAGCTTCATCCCTTCAGGAGCCTAGACATGCTAGCAGTGAGAAAGGGAAGGTTACTCACGCGCCGCCTGGGGGAAGGACACGTTGTACTCCACTGCCAAATAGTTCAGGTAGACCACACTCTTGCTCTGTTGCAGGTCCTGGGAGGCGAACAGGATGAGGGTGGCGGGAATGGATGATGTTTATATCCACAGAAGGTGGGAGGCAAAGATTTGGTAGGGATGGTGGATACTGGGAGGGTGAGTAAAGGCTGAAGGTAGTCACGAAACTATACCTGCTTGAATCCAAAACTGAGATATCCATAAGGGAATGAGAGCAGGTGGGTATGGGCACCCTCACAGCCACCCTTAACGTTGGTTTTATTGGGATTCAGTACAGAGATGCCCCAGGCCTGTGGAAATTAAAGAGCAGAGGGTCTTAAGGTTATACTGCCAAGCCCTCCAAGGTTCCCTGTTCCCACACTTTTTTTTTTTTTTTTTTTTTAATGGTCTTGCTAGGTCAGGGAATTTAGTTCAGTGGTTCCACCACCTGCCTTGCACAAGGACCTGAGTTCCATCCCCAGTAAAACCCCCCCCAAAAAAAAAGATGGTCTTGCTAAGTAGTTCAACCTAGTCTTAAACTATGTAGCCCAGGCTGGGCTTAATTTACAGCAATTCTCCTGCCTCAGCCTCCTGAATGCCATGATTACAGACATTCACCACTGTGCCCTTTCCTCTCTCATCTACTCTTCCTCCTTCCCTCTGATCCACAGCAGGACTTGCTTCCTGTTCCTCTCATCCACAGTGCCTTACCTCTCCTCCACCCTGAGTAGGGTACTGGACTCGAATCTGAATCTGGGCTTGGAGCTGGACACAGGGCTGGGAACCATTAGTCCATGTGTAGTCTCCTATAGCCTCCTTGGAGCCTGGGCTAGGACTTGGAGAGGGTGGAGGTGGTCCTGGGTGGGGGGAACTGGTCCAGAATCTTGGGCTTGTTGTAGTGCCATTGCTTATTGTGGGATGAACAGTAGCATTTCCCAGACTGGTGGTGGTGGCAGGACTATGAGTGTCAGTTGTGGGTCCAGTGGTGATAATAGTGCTATTGCTTGTTGGATGAACCGTTGCATTTCCATGACTGGTGGTGGTAGGTCTGTGGCTGGTTGTAGGTCTCACAGTGCTTTTTGTAGCCGTAGGTGTTACCGTGAAGGATGGCAGCAGAGTAGCTGATTTTTTGTGAGGCCGGTCAATTTCTGTTCCCTGGGCTTTCAGCCAAGAGGTACAGGGTTTAGCAACCAGGGGCAGGGTCCTCAGGAGCTCCCTCTCTTTGACCCCATTTTCTCCTTACCTGTTAGAAGCCCCAGAGAGGCCAACAGCAGCACAGCCAACTTCATGACAGAACCACTTCACCCAAGTCCAACTAGGTTGTACTGGTACCAGTTGTTCAACCCTATCCCGTGTCTTCTCTTGGAATAAGGGGAAATCAAATTTTACTTCCTGTAACTAAGCCCCACCCCAACCTGATTCAGCAGCCTTAGCTCCAGCCACCAAGCTTAGTCATTAGTTTTTGTACCAATTAGGAACGAATGGCTCTGGCTTCACAAGTGGGAGGTTATTAGTTGTCAAATCAAAGGGATCACATGAGGGGGAGCCCTGGGACAGGTGACTTATGGGAATCCATGTTATCTCCTTCGGAAGGCACTCAGCAGTTGAAAATGTGGTTACAGAACCATCCCTCCATGGTCTCCCCAGAAATGAATTCTCAGGGAAGTTAATCAGCTGGGCTTTTTTTTTTTTTTTTGGTACCAGGGATTAAACTCGGGACCTCACACTCAGAAGGGCTAGCGCTGCCAAATACATACCCAACCTTTTTTTGGACAGGGTTTTGCTATATACCTCAGGCTGGCTCCCAACTCAGTGATCCTCCTGCCCCAGCAATCCCAAATGTTGGGACTATAGCCCTGGACCATCACACCCAGCTCTTTCCTCCCGTCCCTAGTTGAGAACTTCCTCTTAGCTGAAACATGTGACATACTGGTGACAGTGTGTATCCCAACCCTTCAGAAGGTCACGTTATCCTGCGTATACAGGATGACCTCAGCCTTGTGATCATCCTGCCTCAAGTCTCCCAGAATGCTGAGATCACAGCTGCATGCCACTGTGCTCATCACCTTGAAAATGTCTTTATCATCTGTTAAGCTCTTAGGCAATCACAGAAAGGTAACAAGGTACAACACTAGGTAAACGGGAAGTGAGATATACCCGAGTGGAAGGTGGGAGAGGCCAAGAAATGAGAAGCCCAAACAGGCAGTTTCCAAGTCATTTTATTCAGAATTTTGTTGTTTGTTTCCTGAATCAATAAATACTATACAAAACAATGTAAAAATGGCTACCATTTTCTCTCCCTTGCTCCCCCCACCTGGGGACATCCCCTCTGGCAACCTCACTCAGGGTTCTCCCTGGAGATTTGGTCCAGCAAGTGAGATCAAGTTAACATGTTATAACACCCCAAATTTTCCAGAGGTATTTGACCAGGGGAGGGAGAGCCTTTGGGACCTGGAGGTGGACTAGGTTAGGGAAACGGATTAGTGTTTTGGGGGAGGAGACGGCGCCAGGGGCAAGAGAATACCCCAAAGAAAAGGGTGTCTAAAATGTTCACGGTTCCTTCTTTTGCCTCAAAAAGTGACATTTATTCAAAGAAGAAAAAAAAAAAAGGAAAAAAAAGGAAAAAAAACTGACAAGATGTCCATCCCTTGACTCCCTTCCCTCCCCCCTCCAGCTGCTCCTCAGCTCCCCCAAGATTGAACTGACTGGGGGTAGGCAGCAGGACAGCTCCCTCAGATGAGGTCAGCAACATTAAGAGGCATCTCTTCAATCGAGGTGTTATAGAAAGTCTCGATGTCTCGAAGTGTCCTTTTGTCTTCTTCTGTTACCATGTTAATAGCCACACCCTTTCGGCCAAAACGCCCACCACGTCCAATTCTGTAAATGGGAATAAATAATAACAGCAAGGGGTATCGTACATAACAAGATTCAGCTCAAATAATGGGCATTAAGGGGTTAGGTAAGTACTTCTGACCCACTCACCTGTGAATGTAATTTTCCCTGTTTGTGGGAAGATCATAGTTGATCACTAAAGAAACCTGCTGCACATCAATGCCTCTGGCCTAAGTGTAAAAAAGATGATGCACTTAGTATGTGAATAAGGATACAAGAGATCCAGAAGAACTTCAATATACCTGTAGGCAGCCAAAGGAAGGTAAAGGAAATAATCCTGTCTCTCAGAGACCTTAGGCATGCCAGATTTTATTCCAAGTTGCTACTTTCCTGAAAGGGGCACTAGTTGGCCCCTTGGAGAGGGAATCACCTTGGATTCTCCTTCCTTCCTTTCCTGTCTTCAGAATGCTCTTCTACTCACCAGCAAGTCAGTGGTAATCAACACTCTGCTAGAGCCAGACCGGAACTCCCTCATGATCACATCTCTTTCCTTTTGGTCCATATCTCCATGCTAGAAGATGCAACAGAAGAAGGGTGTAGGAGTGGGTAGGCACAGGGGTACTGAGAAAATATGGGACTGACATGCCACAGCTTTTGACAAGGGAGAAAATTCACCATGGCAGAGACAGTGAAGTCCCTTGCATGCATCTTCTCAGTAAGCCAATCAACCTTTCTTCGGGTGTTAATGAAGATGACTGCCTGGGTGATGGTCAAGGTTTCATACAAGTCGCACAATGTGTCCAGCTTCCATTCCTGGATAGGGAGAGAGAGAAAAAAAAAAAAAATTAAGTCAGGGGCATACCCAGCACCTTCCCACCAGACTGCCTTGTACACTGCACTCTACACCCACCTCTCGCTCCACGTTGATGTAGAATTGGCGGATACCCTCCAGGGTCAACTCTTCCTTCTTGACGAGAATCCGAATAGGATCCCTCATGAACTTCTTGGTCACCTCTAGCACATCAGAAGGCATAGTAGCTGACAACAAAACCACCTATTTGAAAAAGACAATCCATGAACTGTCCTAAAATATTGGTCACTCTTTAACCTAACCAGACCATGCCATCCATCTAGATGCAAGTTTTTCTCACCTGGGTGTTGCTATTGAGCTTTTGGAATATGTCATAAATCTGGTCCTTGAATCCACGGCTCAACATTTCATCAGCTTCATCTAGCACAAACATCTTGATGTATTTGGGAGCTACAAAGCAAATAAAAATACCAGTACATGACAATCAGAGAAACATAAAATTCACCCATTTCTCTTAGATTAACAGGGGGTGCAGAGAGTCTGCTCTCAGAATTTAAGGAGTGATCCTTTGCCCATGACTTCCCTGCTAGGTCAACATGACAGCCCTGGGAAGTAGAACACTACCTGGGCTAAAAGAGGAAAGTCAGGCTCAGATGACACGCATGGGCTTCATCACAGAGCAGCTAGTTTAGGAAAAAGGAAAACTAGCGTTGTTGAAAATGAGACCTGGTTTAAACTGTGAAAGCCTGTATTAGAGGGAAACAAACCAGGGACTACGGAGTACTCACACAGGTATCTCCGGTTAAGCATATCAAACACTCGGCCAGGGGTTCCCACGATGATATGGGGAGCTTCCATCTGCAGCTTCTGTACCTCAGCACGCACATTGGTGCCCCCAATACAGGCATGACATGAGGCACCCATGTAATCTCCTAACGCCATGACCACCTTTTGTATCTGAACCAAGAGAGAGAAAAAGGCATTCATCTCTGACCGAACCAGGTGCTTAATTTGTTTTTTTTTGGTACAGGGGATAGAACTTGAGTCCCTGTACTTGCTGCAAGGCAGATGGTGGAACCACTGAGCTAAATGCATGGCCCCTAGTCACTGATTTTTTTGACAGTTCAGATTCACTTTAAACTATACCCCAGGCTAGGATGGAACTCAGTGATCCTCCTGCCTCAAGCACTGGCATTATAGGTGGGCACCACCATACCCAGCTAGGCCCTAATTCTTAATGCCTCTTATGAATTATGTACAGCTACGAAATCCACTTTGGAAGAGAGCCAGGGGCAAAAGGCAACCAGTAATTCTCTCAAGACCACACTAACCAGAAGTGGTGGCAAACCTATGATACTTGTGCTGCAGCAGGCTTTTTGTATCATTGAAAGCTCTAAAAGGTTCACACCACCAAGGGCCTAGATAGACTGAGACAGGATTTGATTTCTGCTTCCTGAGTACACATTGATTCACAATAAAGCATGAGCAATTAAGCTTCTAACTCATAAAACAGGACATATCCTATGCTTACATTATTTGTGCCCCATGTTCCCATCAAGACAATCACATCTGCTACTAATCTAGAAGTACAGGTTTAATTTATTTCTCTTTAAAACCCAAAAGAACAGAGACCAAAGTTAGGATTTATGTGCCCTAGGCATGAAGCAGCTTTGGCCACCAATCCAGGCACCAAGCAAGGATGAACAAACGACTACCATCTGCTCTGCCCCTGACTTGATATAAGGGACACCACCACCAATTAGGTGTCTCTTTGCCCAATGCCAAGGGTTTTCTTCATTAAACAGCCACCAAACTTGCCCCACCAGCCAGGCCCCACCCAGCAGCCTTCCCATTTGACTCAGGAAATGGGTGGAGTAAGTGGTGGTTGTAATGTTTGGGCCAGAAACAGCTTATAATTAAACCAAACAGATCCTGAGAGCTACACACCATCAACCCATTTCTTTTATCCTAAGCATCTCTCCACTCCACTGGTCAGAGAATACACTTAGCTTTTTCATTAAGCTTACATCCTTTCTAAAACAGCCTTCTTACCTGCTGAGCCAATTCTCGAGTGGGAGCCAGAACCAAAGCCTGGGTAGCCTTTAGATCTAATTCAATCTGCTGCAGAATTGATATGGCAAACGTAGCTGTTTTCCCAGTCCCAGACTGGGCTTGAGCAATCACATCATAACCTAAACAGACAAACTAGGAATTAGATGTGGTAGATGGCATACACTTTGGCAAGACACATGAAGTCCAGTTTAATAAGCACCAACAGTTACAAAACAAGTACTCAATGCTTTTTAAAATCACCTTACCACAATATAGTGACACTGAGAACACATCAAAAGACAGTCTGGTCATTAGCTCATTTAATACTACACCAAGTTAAGTTAGAAATACAACTATTAAGTATGAGCTGGATGACACTACCGTAAAGAAAACCCAGCAATCTCCTGTGTCATAAGGCACAAACCAGACATATAGGCAAAGACCAAAAATCAAGCTGGGATGAGCAAGGAATTGCTTTGCCCCTGGTGGACATTAGAGATGAGAACTACTAATCTAACATAGTTCATAGCTATATTCTGGGGCTGTGAAGTCTCACCCTTGATACAAGGAAGAATGGCACGCTGCTGGATGGCAGAGGGTTTCTCAAAACCATAGGCGTAGATGCCACGGAGGAGGGACTCCGAGAGGTTCATGTCATCGAAGCTGTCAACAATCTCATTCCAATTACTCTACAAGAAGCAAAAAAATTAAACCCTTAAGAGTGGAAAAGGAGGGGCCGGTGCAAACAAGATCTGGAATCTGCAACAAAGTCCCATAGCCTCTCCATTCTACAGGGAAGCCAAGTGGTTCTTGAAGTCCGGGTAGACACTCTTAAGGAACCAAGCCCATGCAACTACAAAGTTGGGAGTTTTAGAGAAAAGCATAAACGCAAATGACATGTTCTACATACACCTTCAGGAATGTTAAGATTTCCCACAATAGGCTGTAATGAGGATAAAACTAATTCCTTTACTGTCATTTCAGAAACAAAGAAGCACAGCTGGTGGCACTGTCCTTTCTTAAGAAATGATGCCAGGTTCGTCTCACCTCGATGACGCCTTCAGGTTCCATCCCATCTGGGCCATTGTCTCTGGATCTGTTAATTTAAAGCACGAGTTTTGTCCCCTGCCTGAACGAAGAACTCTGGCAACCGGCCATGCATGATGCCATCAGCCTTCATCCACCCAACTCCCACCAGTTCCCTAGACACTCAAGTCACTTTTATAACTGAGGGAGGCCTTTGCGCTGCCCTATCTCGGGAGCCGCTCTGGGTGGGCCGCCCCCCACCCGACATGATGAGGTAACCCATTTTGAGACCCTGGGGTAGGAGGGCGTGCCACCACGCAAAAGTGGCCAAGATGCAGTGCTAGCTGCGAGGCCCGTGGGTGCAGGGCCTGGCTGCTCAAAGCCCAAGAGGGTGCACCTCCCACCGCAGCATCAGCGCGCCGGAAGTCCCGCCCTTCATCACCCAGATGGAGGGTAGGACATCCCCTTCCCCCACGTCATTCCACCCGCGCCCTCCCCCACTCCTCCAGCCGATCCCCCCCTCGCAGTGCCCGGATGTGGGAGGCCGCGGGCGGTGGCGGCCTCACGCACAATGAGCCCCAGCCGAGCTAGCAAAGGGGGGAGATTGCACAACACTTAGAAGCGAAGCAGACTGGGGGAGGGGAATCCCTCAGGCCGCCATGTGCTCGCTCCCTCGACCACCCAGGGGTGTCTCGCCCCCACCCACAGAACCGCAGAACAATCCACATCCCACCCGCCCCCGTCGCGAAATGGCGTCGCCCTCCCATACCTCAGGCCGCTCACCCCCGAAGGAAAGTGGACCTGCCCATCCGCAGTTTGCCAATTGCCCGGCTTGTGCGGCAAAATGGACCCGCCCGCCCGACGCCGGGTGGGCTCCTGGTGCCTCACGCGGCCGCTCCTCGGGGTTAGGCTCAGTCCTGGCCGTCAAGAAAACCAGCACACTAAACGGCCGGTTTCTTCTCCCCCGACCCACGTTACAACCGCGAAGCGACTTGCCGAGGACCGAGGCACCCCCGCCCCTCGCGAGTGGTATGGTCGTACCTTCCGGAGCCCCGCGCACCAGCCCTCCCCCGGCACAGGGAGGTGACCGGACCGGCGGCCGCCTCCGCCTGTTTCCCACGCTAGGTCGCGACCTCGTCTCGCCACTCGGCGCCAGGGCTTAGCGCACGGCACCGCCCCGGGTTGAGGCCTCGTGAAGAACCTCGTGCATTCGGGCCTAGCCGAGCTGTCCTTGCCTCTGCCTTGGCCCCGGCTGCAACGTCAGCCATGGATTTTCCCCCTCACTCCCCCCGGACGGCTCCTCCCGCTGGGTCTTTCCCGCAACCCTGGTAGGGCTCTCTGAAGGGAGCGGCAGGGTAAGTAACCATAACCTCTTACAAATGCTTTTCTTACCGGGAATCCTGACTCGCAGACATGATCCTTAGAAACTAGGGCGGAGTGCCCGCCTATCGACAACTTATAGAGCACCCGACCCCGCCCCGGCTATCGCATTGGCCTGGCAGCCTCGTCCCCGCCTGTCGGAACTCTGCAACTCGGCATGACGTTAGTTCCTAGGCGCTCTAACTGGCACCCGCCATTGGGCATCTTGGACGCCTATCAAGGTGAAAGCCCGCCCCGCCCCCTCATTGGCTAGGGAGCCCATCTTTCTCACCGGTACGGAAGTGACATATGGGAGCCAGGCCTCGAGGCCTGGCCGCCATCTTGTAGCCCTGCACCCTTACACGTGCGGAGGTGGTCCTGCCTCGGTCACGTGGCTCAGGAGGCCCTATCACGCGAGGGGGCGAGGTCTCAGCCTCCAGGGACTTCCGGATTCCCAGGACTTCCACTTCCCTTTTCCTCTGCTTCGTGTTTCCAAAGGACCCGAATTTTATTTAGATCTTCTCAGAGGAAAAAGAGATCCGACGCCCCGGCCTGTCTTAAATAGGGATAAAAAACCCCAACATAATATCCAGGTGCTGGGAGGGTTCCCCTGGCTGGGGAGGAAGAGGCAGTGGGCCTACTTCTAGATTAAGAGCATTTTTGGTAGCCCTGGCTGGCTTTGTCCTGTTCCCCAACCTTCTTTCTCAAAGGCCTTTGTAGTTGAAGCTTAACTGCTCTCCCTTCTCCCTGCCCTCTTGCTCCCTAGGCTGGTAATCTGTTTGCGTCATGTAGATGAAGTGTTGGCACTGCCTGACTCAAACCTGAAAAGCTGGTTTCTGTGGTGTCAAGGCCCCAAAAGGGGTCCAACAGCACAGGCTGAAAGGCCTGGAATAGAACAAATCTATTAGTTTGAGTCCTTTTTTGTTTTTTGTTGAGACAGACTGGCCTTGAACTTGCTGCTGCAACTGATCCTCCTGCCTCAGCCTCCCGAGTGCTAGGATTATAGGCGTGCACCACCACACCTGGCTAGTTTGAGGCCCTTTAAGGAAGACCACCACTTACATATCTCCAAAGGATCCTTTATTAACCAGAGCAGGACCGTGGCATTTATATATATATATATAAAAAAAGTTTGAAGATCTGGCAGGCAGTAATCCCTTTGCCCCCCACCCCACAAGGATTTCCTGCCCCTTGTGCATGGAAGGGGGATGACTGCTCCACCCAGGCCACAAGGCAGTACTCCTCTGCAAAGAGGAAGAAAAGAGCTTTTCTGTGGCCACTCCCTGCCCATCAGAAATCAAGAAGTATTCTCTCAAAGAAAAAAAAAAAATACAGAAATCAAAACATTTAAATATGAAAAGGGGGGGTTGGGAGGGGAGAGGCAGGAAGAAAGGAACTGGAGTTTCTCAGGAAGGGTCTCCCATGTGCCCCTGGCCATTAATGGGCCCAGGGCCTGGGGTACGAGGCTCACACAGTGAGTTTGCAGTGACACAGCTCCTTGTAGATCTGCCGACGAAGTTTGGGCATGTCCTGCTGAGTGAAGCTGAATGGCTGAGACAAGGCCAGGTACTTGCAGTACTGAGAGTTAACAAAGCAGGTCATGAGAACCATCCACTGAACATCCCTCTAAATCAGGACCCATGCTACTTATTTCATACGTCCCATGTCTCAGACCCCATTTCACAGTCTTACAGTCTCAAAGTCTGGGGTTCAAAAACAGCCCGACTCTAAAACTATTGTTCTTATTCAATAATTAACCCAGGGTGTAAGTGGGAGAAAATACACTAAGTCATGGTTTAGGGCTTAGCTGTATCAGGGCCAGTTGACTGTGAAGCACTTTAACCCAAATGACTCCAGAGCCCAAGGAGGCCCCAATCATCTTACCTGCAACACAAAGGCGCCACAATCACTGTCATTATTCTGCCTGGCCACATTCTAGAGAACAGAAGGAAAGACCCCTTTCACTTGGAGTCTCCCAGGAGTATGACTTCAATTTCTGCCTCCTACAACTACCCCCACCATCACCTCCTTCCTCTCCCCTTGGAAACTCACCATTTTGAAGTAACCTTTCCAGCCCTGGTGGAAATCCAGCCGGTCTTTCTTCACCGCCTCTGCCTGTAGATACTTGGCAATATGCTATGTGAATGGGGGAAAAGATAAAGTTATGCCAACTGAGCTCAGGGTATGGTGGTTGCAAGTCATGAACATCATATCCAGGTCATGCCTCAGAGACCCAAGGCCCACCTTTCTGGAATGCCTGGCACTGGATCTCCCCTAAATTCTACCTTGTCCTCCCTCTAGCCCTCAAACCTTAGGGCAACGGCGGTTTAGAGTGCGCTGTGAGTCAAAATAC